AATGATAAAAATCATACAATGATGGTATTAAACAAAAATTGGAAAATGATAAAATTGATATTTTTAAAATCGTACAATATACAATAATTGTCTATTCTTCTTCTCCTTCTTCTTGCTCGTCTTCGTCTTCGCCTTCGCCTTCAAGGTCATCGGCTAGTTGCATAGATTGGGAACTAGCCTAACCCGAACCGGAAGCGGGGGTTCCTTCTTCGTTGTCGTTGTGGTCGTAAGAACGGTCTTGTGAGCGATTTTCCGCATCCAACCAATCTTTGAAACACACGCACATTTCTAGTGTTTCGGGTTTTAGACTTGTTCTTCTATCGTCTAAAACCCTTCCGGATGCGCTGAAAGCTCGTTCGGAGGCGACGGAGGAAACTTGGATAGCAAGAATGTCTCGTGCCATTGCCGCCAACGTTGGATGCTTCGAGCTTTGTTGTTTCCACCATGCAAGGAGGTCGAGGCTGTTTATCTCATCGTCATCCATGCCTTTGGTGAAGTCGTAACTCAGGTACATCTGTAACTCCGAGACGTCGCTTTGCGTTCTCCTGATTGATGAATCACCTGAAAACCTTGAAATCAAGTTAGTAGCTTGTGAAAATAAATGTTTGGCCTTCTTACTTACGTTTTTGGATGGTTGGGAAGGCCCTGAGCGAGGAACGGTGCCATATTTGGCTTCATAGACTCTATATAAAGCAAAAAACTGATCCTTCACATTAGTCTTATAGTTTTCTACATCATCGTCAAGAAACATGCATTGAAAGTAAATGTCAACTAACATAAATGTGTTTTCATACTTTTGCCTAGGATCTAATATGGAAGCAAAAATATAAATCAAAGGAATCTCACTATAATATTTACGCCACTTTTTTTCCATTGCTGGAAGATACTGATCATAATCACTTTGATCGCGATGATCAGCGAAAAGTTGGGCGAGTAAGCATGCATTAGAAAGAAAGTTTTGAGCACAAGGATTGTAAACAGTAGAAAAACAATACGTCATGTTATATAATAACTATAAAAATTGCATATATCTTTCACAGTTTTTCCAATCATCATCATACAAAGCATTTTGCGGAAATTTTTGGTTGTAAAATAATGTTAACGGGCCCTTGTACTCAATTGCCTTTATTAACATGTCATAGGTGGAATTCCACCTAGTTGGGCAATCGGTTCTAATTTTTATTACACTTATCTTTTGTTGTTTTAGAAAACTCTTCCATTCTTGGTATCTCATGTTAGAGCTATTAATAGACATAATAACATCTCTGATTTTGCTGTAGTATGGGCCAATTGCCCGAACTCCATCCTGTACACATAAGTTAAGTACATGGCAAACACATCTAGTATGAAGAGCTTCACCGTCTAATAGTACATCGGTTAAGTTTTGTTTGATAAGATTAGCTGTGTATGTCATAGAGGTTGCATTATCAAAAAGTCATAGACATCATTTTATCTCGAAGGTTGTATTCGTCTATTGCTTGCATTAAATGGTGAGCAATGTTAATGCCGGTGTGTGGGTATTCCAGCATTTTGAAATGTATTATTCTTTTTTGTAACATCCATTGATCATCTACCCAATGGCAAGTCACACATAAATAGTGATATTTATAACCACTATCCCAAGAATCGGCTGTTAAAGATACTCTACAGTTAAGGTTACTCAATTCGGCTTGTAACCGGACTTTGTACTCTAGGAAATTTTTCATTGCGGCGGAACGAACGGTTTTCCTAGAGATTCTTTTATGTTGGGGTTGTAGTGCTTTGTTAATGTAGGTGTTGAATGCGTCACTTTCCGAGAAAAGAAAAGGTTGTTCGGCGTGTACTATCATTTTTCCTAGTTCATCCCTATCCCTCTCATAGTTGTATGTAAAGCCGTATGGATGGAATTGGGAAATTTTGGGCTGGGTTGGATCACTAGCTGGTTTTGCACAAGCTTTCATGTGTCTAGATAAGTGTCCCGTCCCGTTTTTGGTAACTGCTGTGAATACACTATTACATGTTTTACATTTTGCCCATTGTTCACCATCTTTACTTAGGACAAAATAACGCCATACCTCACTCCTTCGGTTTTTCAAAAGTAGCATCTCAGTTTCGGTTAACCATTCATGATGTGTGTGATGGTTAGTAGTGGGACTAGTGGGAGTGGCAGTAGCAGGGGTAGAAGCGGAGGGAATTCGGGTACTTTCTTGGCTACCTTGGCTAGAACAATAGTTTTGTTGATTATCGATATAATTAGGTGGAAATTGGTATGGTGGTAGTGGAAATTGGTTTAGTGGTGGTGCTGGAAATCCCGACGTATTATATAGCTCATAGCCCGGGGGGGAAGTAAATGGGGTCATTGGTTTGACTCGTAATTTGGGGGCTCGTTGTACTTGGTGGTTCCCTAGAACTACTACTACGGATAAGTCGGTCTTTCCCCCTAGACCTAGATGATGGGTTGTTCGATGCCATAATTAACAATTAATTTTTTAATAAAAAGTGGTTAACTATAATAATAATAATTAATAACAACAATTTTAACAATAAAAATATCAATAATATTAATTAATAACAACAACTATAACAATAACAATAACAACAAAAATAAATAATAACAACAATTGTAACAATAATAATAATTAATAACAACAATTATAACAACAACAATAACAATTAACAACAATAATAATTAAACAAGATTATTCTAATAATAACAATAAAACAATAATAAATTTAAGATTAGTTTAGATCTTACAACCGTGCTTCAACGCTCCACTAATTACGATTACGAACTTTTTATTTTTTTCCGATATTAGGAAAATAATTAGAGAATTTAAGAGAATAATTAGAGAATTTAAGAAAATAAGGATTATTAGAGATTTAGAGAATATAAGAGATAAGAAGAAGAGATTGTGATTTTGTGATTTGGGAATGAAATGGAGGTGAGTATTTATAGAATTTTTGGGGAGCAAATTGGCAAAAAACTAGCCGTTTTATAGCCGTTTTTTTGGCTTCTAGCTACATGAAACGGTAATATTACCGTTGGCCCGCGGGCCGTGCCTGCGGGCCAGCACGGCAGGTCATGCCCGTGCTCGTGCCGGGCCGTGCCTGGGAATTCTTAACCCTGTCCGTGGCACGGAAGTTGAACTTCGTGCCGTGCCGTGCTTGACTTCGGCCGTGCCGGGCTGCGCCGAACGGCGGGCCGTGCCGGGCGGCACGCGGGCCAACCTGGCCCGTGCCCAGGTTTAGCATTCATAAATACGCACACCAAACTCGAGCAATATTAATTGCGGAATCTCCCGGAATCTGAGAGAAATACTCGTTTACTTTCCGCACGTAATCTCATCCGGAATCATACTAACTTGATCATCGGAGGCGGAACTCCACCCAACCGGAGTTTCGTGGTTTTGCAGGTACAGAAGTCAGGTGTGCATACTTGGTGTTGTAACTCTCCCGCAGGACACCTCAGAAAACCCCGAAACAGTTTGCATACGGGAGAAATTGATCCCGCAAAGCTCCGCGAACATTCATAGCATGAACTTCATAGCTAAGATTGGAAGAGGTTGTTGGAGAGTAACCGAAGGCACATCATCCAGAGATGGATTTTGGGGAAGATAAAAGACTTCCCAACCCTTCCAATGTTTGTGCATTCTTATCATCAACACATCCTCCAGGGACAAAGGTGTCATCTGATGAGCAACAATCTCCTTCGGCCCCTTGTAGAAAGCGATAAAACCGAATTTGAAGTTGCATCCCCACCACCGCCTCCTGAGAGTTGAAGGCCTCTATATGGTGTTTTTCCATGTTTTGACATCAAGTTTCTAGTCGCAAGTGAAAAAGAGGAATTCTTCTTGGCACTTGAAAGGGATGAGTTCGATCTCGTTTATATACTCTACATATAGATAGAGCTTCCTGCTTGCACTTCAGCGAGTCGAGCAACCTTATTGATCATGTCAGCTCCGTCGGATTGTCTGGCCTTGTCTTTAGTAAATTCTTGATCATCGGGGATGATGGAAACAACTGAAGGATGGCTGATTTTGATCCTTGACTTGATTGGGCCTCCTGCTGAGACAAAGAATCATGGTTCTGTGCAGATGCGGGGGGGGGGGGTGTTGACAATGTCAACTGAACTTAGTTGACAATAGAACCTCCAGTATGGTGTTCTCAGCTTCGATCTGGCTTTATCAAGGTAGCTAACCCCAATCTCGTCTTCCTAATACCAGACTCACCATAAATCTAATTTGTTTCCTACCTTATACCGTAATCTCTATTCAAACATTATTCTATATTGTGTTTATATATGATATGCTCTTAATCAAAGAAATAATTAATTTGAGATATAAAGTTTAAGAGGATAACATTCCCTTAAAACAAACTTTTATTTAAATTGAAAAGATTACAATACTCATATCTTACAATACTAGAACGAAAAGATTAAATAGACATAAACAGAACCAGAGTATTACTATACATCAAGACAGATAAAAATCAGTCTTTCTCTTAAAGCAAGTTTCTTTTCTAGAGGACTACCAAAGATTATATGAAAACCCTAGCAAACTCTCCTTATAACTCTACCTTTACCTTTCCCTTGTTGCCTACTTGCCTACAATCTTTAATATAGAACATGACTCACACACCTTAGTACCTTACCGACACTCTATTATGATTTATGACTCAGCAAACGCATATCAGCCATTCCTTTTTACAAAGATATTTTTACAAAGCAAACAATAAAATTTTAATACATGGCTACAGTAGTAAAAGATGCCCAATTTGCTATTTTTCGGGTTTAGTCTTCCATCATTTCATCTATCATTATTTTTTTTAAGGGATCATCATTTCTTGTATGCCGCCTTAACTATATATATCTTTATTGTCCAAATAATAAATATCATACATTGGGTCTTTAGTATTTCTTCTTCTATGTAGAGCTCTTGGACACATTTGTTGCATATGACTCGTCTCATGCTACATAGATTTTAAGCAGGTGTTCTTTTCCATCTAAGGATAAGAAATTTTCCTACTTCAACTTCTTCAAAATTAGTAAGAGCTGATTCACCATTAGCTGCTCCTTCTAAATGAATTTTTAACCATTGTGGAACAACTATAGTTTTTACTCTTTTTTTTAAAGTCAGATCTCAAACTCAACAAAAAGCTTACTACGTATAATATATAGTTAGAAAGGTACAGAAGTCTACTTTCCAACCTAATTGACCTTGCATAAACTAGATTTCATGGACATTGCAAAATTCATCATGAAATTGCAATGCAAAAGAATTACATCAAACTTATCTAGAATCAAAAGATAATACACATAAATCATTTGGTATGATTAAAAAAAATGAATTAAACACAAATATAACTAACTAAAATGAGGCACAAGTAGAGTAGTATACAAGATTGGAAACAAGATAACTATAACAAGGATAATCCCAAGAATTATAGCAATGCAAGTCCATTTCCGACTATTCTTTTGATGTTCCTTAGCAACAACCAGCTCAGTTGCCCCATGGCTAACAAATGAGCTAGCGCGATTTACATTGCTAGCAATATCATTAAGCTGCTGGCCTTGAGCTTCTACTAGAGCAGCCATGTCCAAGAAAACTTGATGCAGCTCGAGCAGATTCTTTTCTATCTCTTTGATCGCATCATGCCTCTCTTGTATTTCCTTCACTGTATCCATTATCTGTCCTCTTCCCTGTTCTTGTATAGCCTTTTGAAGGAACGACTCACTCTCTCCACTGTCGATCAACTGCTCTATAGTCTCTTCCTCTGCCTTTAATCCTGTAATTGTAAAGTACCGCCTTTCTACTGTCTCTTTATACTCAGCTGACATTTTTGCTCTCAGTGTTTGGAAGTTGTCCATCATGTCCTTCAGCTTCTTCCCTAAGCCGCTAACCACAGAGGTGCGTGTCCGGTCAGCAGAGGAACCCGGCCCACACCCTGGCAGGTTCCTTTGGGCTACATTAGACCTCTCAAGAGCTTCCAACTTTCCCTTGATGATCTTGACTCTCTTCAAAACTTGCTCTACATCAGCATCCATTCGAGCCCTTAAGTCCTTGACCGCCTTTGCATTAGTCGCGATCTTGCATTCCTCATTCGCCTCTTGTAGCCTCTTGTAGAGCTTGTCTACATTTCCCATGTCCCCCTTGACACCATCCACATCCTCAAAGAACTTGTCGAGGTTGGCTGATGTCTGATTCCCCATCTCCAAATCATCGCGCTGTGCTTGATCCTTCAGATTCGCGTACCTCTTAAACGAGTTTGAAAACAAGTCATTCATCTTAGATTATCTATGTTATTCACTTTAATCTTCTGATTAGTTTTTGGTCTATGACAACAAAACAAACGTTAACTCCAGCACTTGTATGTACCATTTAAGCACGAAAAATGTTAATGGGGAATTGGGGAGTCATCTTTTCTACTATGTAGAATCAAATAATCATGGAAAACATATTCTCCAAAAATACTAACATATTATTTCATTTGACTCCGTCATTAGATATTTCGATCATAAATTATGTGCATTATTAACTCTCTTAGTTTATCAGTGTTTTTATTTTTTTAATTATTTCGATAATTTTATGTCAGTTTTTTTTTTTTTTTTTTTTTTTTGAATGATATATCAAATTATAATTATGGTAAGAATGTTGACATTCCTTATTTATTTTCCATTAATTTTTGGGTTTTACTCTCATACACATTAAAAATCACACTAATTTGTAAAGCAAGAAAAACTATCTCAGAACTTTTATCCGACTTGAAATACCCAACTCAAAAACTAACATCAATTGACTTGATTTAATCCGAGCAAAACCGACTTGATTATCAATGTTTCTAAAAATTATTATTTTATTTAAATTAGCATAGTAGTAAAGAATCGATATAACCCAACCCGATTCAAATCCTAAATCAACCTGAACAAGTGTTACCCCCGAACAGTTTACTCAAATTGTCTCATTCCAAACAATCTGATTGCCGCCACTATTTATTTTTTCGGTTTATATTTTGTTTTGTTCCTAGTTTGATTTCTAATCCACTATTTATTTTTTCGGTTTATATTTTGTTTTGTTCCTAGTTTGATTTCAAATACATGATCTTCAAATGTCACCTACCAAATTGACAATGTGATCTCAACTAAGAAAATATTAGCTGATAAATCTAAGGGAAACATGGGAAGCACTCTTTGATAATAATGGTGAGTCCAATATATAATATTTTGGGGTTGTGCTCTACCAAAAATGCGACATGATTCCAAGTTTCCTATCAAATGTAATTTAAATAATTCACATGACAAATCATGGATGCAATCACTCGTCTATATATATGTATCAAATTCTTATCTACAAAAAGTCAAATGGACCTAGTCTTTGTCTGTTAGTCTAGATCTACTTAATTACGAACAGACATGAAATTTAATATGTGGTTTTGTGATATTGTTGTTAGTTTAGTGCTACAAAAATTGCTAATCTCCCGTGAACTACATTTTGAGGATTGTGATTTGGTATTACTTCATCCGTTCCATAATACTTGACACAGTTACTATTTTCGTTCATTTTAAAATACTTGACACGTTATTAAATATGGAATGTGACCGCTAATTAAAAAAAAAATTCCTATACTCTTTTTAGGACCACAAACCCCAAAAACCCAATTACATTTTACATTTTTACTCTCCTCACTACCCCCACCTCCCCTACTTTTTATTTTCTTACAATATAAAAATACAAAAGAAAATCATTTATATAATAAACGTGTTCACCCCAACGTCCCAAGTATTATGGGACGGAGAGAGTATATGATATACGAGTACTTCCTTCGTTTAGTAATCGTCGTGATTTTGACTATTATGTTCGTCAATGTATAAATCTGACCATTACTTATAATTATCTATCATTGAAATTTTATAACGCGAAGATAAGACACATTCATTCATCGTTAATTTGGTGAGTCAATTGTTCAAAGCCTATGTTTTATATATACAACAAAAATGACAATCTTGTAACTTCGAAAATTTAAAAGAATTTTTAATTGTTAGATTTCATTTTATGCTAAAAATTTGCTCATGCTTCTCATAAGTGATGCAGTGACATTGCTTTACTTAGAGGTGGTGATACTGGGTACACCATTACACATTTACACCCTGACTTATGTATTGAACATCAATTACATTATGCTAAATGCGAAATTTAGAGGGACACTTGACAACATAATACAAAAAGTTTTCCCTTCAAAATTTCTTACTAAAAAAAAAAATTACAAAAAAAAAAAAAAAAAAAAAAAAAAAAAAAAAAAAAACAACTTTTTATAGTTACATTAAAATAAGGTTTGTATCTCAATTATAACTTTTACTTTGTACAAAATCTTAATAAACTTCCTTAAATATCAAATTGCCTATTGTAACTATTACATGTACGTTGTCAAAAAAAAAAAAAAAAAAAAAAAAGAGGCCTATTACATGTTTAATTATATTCTTTCACATAAATTTCGTACTTTTTAATACATTGTCTATTCATAATACTATATACTCCGTATCAATTTTTTTGGTAACATTTATTGTCATCAATAACATAATACTAAAACAGACACTAAAAATGACACGTGTCACTTCCTGGTGCTGTATTTTCCCTCCAAAACTTCCCCCATCCCTTTTTAGGAAAAATCTTTTATTTTTGAAATATTTGTATAATACAACTATAATAATATATTATTCCTAATCTTACATATTATCTTTATAATAATTGTATTCCTTTTTATTTTGTGCTCTATTTACTTAAAATAGTTACACAAGATTTTGAGACCTTTTAATCAAGGGAGAATAAGTTATAATTTAGAAGGTTGAAATATGGTGGAGAGTATAAAATAACGAAGTCAAAATACAATATTAACATTTAAATTACCATTATATAATTGTACAATATTGGGTTCAACCGGAAAAAAAAAAAAAAAAAAAAAAAAAAAAGATTTTGAGACCTTTTAATCAAGGGAGAATAAGCTATAATTTTTTTTTTGAGGGAAAGAATAAGCTATAATTTAGAAGGTTGAAATATGGTGGAGAGTATAAAATAACGGAGTCAAAATACAATATTAACATTTAAATTACCATTATATAGTTGTACAATATTGGGTTCAACCGAAAAAAAAAAAAAACATTTCTATTTATGGTGTTTAATTTGAATCTTATGAAATAATAATAATTGAGTTAGTTATCTGTTAAATATTTCTGTAATAATTTTACCAACTTATAACTTTTTTTTCCCTCAAAAATTCTATTAACTATTACTAAAACACATCATGCTTACATCGATCATTTTGGACTTATGTTAAGCTATCATTAAAAAATTTCCCACCAATACAATATATGATGTCAGCTTTAAGTTTTTTTTTAAGAAAAATTATTCTACTTAGTTTATTTTTTGGAAGTACATTGTATAGTATATTTTTTTTTTGGAACTAAATTAATTCATTAATAAAAAGTAATACGGCATCTACATTGATAGTTTTATTGGGAATAAAATGCATCATTAATGTAATATAATGTATACTATTTTTAAATTTTTTCAACACAACAAACTAATCAAAAAATTTTTTTTTTCCTTCTCAATTGTAGTTTAAAAAAATTTTGCCTTATTATTTCAACTTTCTTATATACATTGCATTTGTTTATTTCGCATGAGTTGCCTCATTTTATATTATATCACAAAATAATTATGGGAATAAAGATTATTACGACTGTGCATCGCACGGTCACTAATCTAGTTATAATTAATTAGCAACTGTGCATTTGCATGGGGTTTAATCTAGTTGCATTATATTAGATATTACGGAGTTTAATTTAAAAAAAAAAAAAAACGTAACAAACGAGTTACTAGTATCCCTCCTTTTCTCAAATTCCCAAAAAATACCCCTATATTTACCTTCTTTTGTCCAACAAAATGCTCAAATGTTAGTTACATTTTGAAAAAAAAAAAACGCCGTTGCCGGGGATCGAACCCGGGTCACCCGCGTGACAGGCGGGAATACTTACCACTATACTACAACGACTTTGTTGTCTTACTAAAATATTATTTGTTATTTATTACTTAGCAATAACTGTAAATTCCTAAGTGAAGCTTAAAACCCCTTTTTGTACAACTCTCCGATCGTCACAGTTTAAATTTTTAACTAGTTTTACATTTTTTTTCCTCATTTAAAAAAGTTAAAATGTTTTTGATGTTTTTTAGGTTGGTTGACTCATTTCTGGGCTTTTCTTTTGTCTTCTGCTGTTGTAAAAAATAAAAATAAAAAATAAAAAATTTATATGAGCAAAAGTGATACCTTTAAAGACACCTAACTCCGCACCCGAGTGTATCTTAAAAAATTCATTAGACTTGAGCATCCCTTAATTTTTTATTTTTTTGTCCAATGATCATATTTATTTTCATTACAATGTTAATTACGATCATCCTATTTAATAATTTTGAAGAAAATAGCTACACATGAGCTATGAAAACACACATAATTGCCCACGAGGTGAACAACATCAGCAAAAAAATTACTCCGTAAAACAAGCGAGAAATAATGCACGAAATCTAGACTGAAGTACAAATACAAGAAGACGAAGTAGTTACATCATTTAGCCTGCGGCTTAAAAAAACAATGTCTAAGAGTTATACTGTCCAAAAAATGTGTATACATGAATAGCCAATGCTAGATGCTACAAGAACAATGGACTAGATGAGTAGATGGTCGTCGCTACTAGAACAACTCAGCCCGCTAATGTGAAATGAACCTAGCAAGCACCTCCTGTTTACAAAATCTCGGGGCTCGTGTACATCTGAGGCTGGAGTAGGAAGGGAGATCAAGAAAACCACCACTTTTTTTCAGATCAGTGAACATTACAATGTTGGAGTATAGGATGATCGTAATTAACATATTTTTCCCAAAGCGGTTTGTACTTTTCAATTCCAATCTTCAACCACGGCTTTGAGTTCCCGTTGTAGTGCAGTACAGCCCCCTTTGAAATCAACTTTGGGTCCACAGTCGTGTATCCCAATCCCAAAACATGCCATGAGGGATCTAATGGCTCCGTCAACCCATAGAAAGTCAGCAACCCGGGTGGAAGAGTGCCAAGTTTCCATAGAGTGCGGTCTATGTTCTTTTCCTGCCAATAGTGATAGATTCCCGTGACATTTCTATTCCTCCATTCTACCAAGTCAAAGATGTTCATGCCAAATGCCCACCCACATGCATCAGGGTCAAAATGTGATCGTATCAGAGGATGAGAATAGTTCAAGTACTTATGATACCGATGAAATGTTTCCATACATGTCTCGACTGCCCCATTTACATTACCATTCAGATCAATGGAGAATAGAGGAGAGAGATCCTTTTGGACAACAACATCATCATCGAGGAAAACTACCTTCTTCAATGCAGGATAAACTTCTGGTATATAGAACCTAAGATGATTCAGCATTGAAAGATACTTAGGGTTCCGGAACTTTATTGGTGTTTTGTTGTCATCATTGTTGCCTGAAAAGTAGTAATTTTTAGTGTCTGAATCCTGGAGCTGCTTAAGGACTGGAACATAGGAAGCATTAAGCCAACTGAAATCCTCAATCTTTTGAACCTCAACTGTTACTCCACGGAATTCGTTCATTGTAAACCATGCCTTCATAGGTGCATAGTTGACCTCATCAGTTACAAGGTGGAAAACAGCCTTTTCCGGATGTTCTGAGTTCAAAGCAGTGGAGTTTATAACAACTGATGTTGCAAGGATGTTGTCAGAGAAGATACAGAAATGATAAAGGCTGTTATCTTCAAGTTTCAAGGCATTTAATTTTTTTTCAGCAAGCCTTCTCTGTGCATTCTGATTTCTAAACCATTCACTTCCAAGCCTAACACCAAGACAATAAAGGCTCTTTGGGACTTCCTCAGCAGCTATTTGCCCATATTTCGAACTTTTATCACTGACAGTACTCATTTGTTCTTCAAGAGACTGGATTCTGGCCTTTAATCTCATAATCATGGTAGCACTGTCATAATGAAGTTGCTGAGCTTGATAAAGCAGAAATGCCATGTCCTTAATAGCAGTTTCTGACTCCCTTATTGTCAACGGGCTTCGTCTCATGGCAGCATTAGAAAGTAGGATCTGTGAGTTGCGAATCTG